GTAGGTGAATCACAGGGCAACGACGCAAATAATTGCACATTTCCGCATGAAAACAGACCTCCGATGCTCAAACATAAAAGCAGCAATGACCCAGATTCCTCCACATGACTCGATTATGTCGGAGCACAAAAGACCCATTTAATCCAATATTGAATCTAATATGCAGACAAACGCTCTGTCATTTCCCTAAAAGCTTTTAAATGTTTGTCAACTTTCAGAAATGCGTTTTACTCGATCAAACGACTCCCGGTCAGTGTTAATGAGTCAGGGTTAAAGGACCATATCAGCCTGTCGGTTACATTACTGACCTTTTTCCAGTTCCTGCTCATGGTGCTTTAGTGTTGGATGGATTTTTTCTACCATCCAGGGTTCTGCTGGTTTCAGTCTGTATTAATTTAACAAGTGAAAGTTTGCCAGTAAAGCCTCTCAGCTGCCACATCACGCTACATTAATATAGACTAGAATGTCTGAAGACTCACTATTACTCATTAAACATCAGTTTCACTTTGAACTCCACATAAACTGGACGGTTGTCTTCAGTCCAGACTGACACGGTTATTTTTTTAAATAACTTTTTCCTCCCTTGTTCTCAGCAACTATGTCCACATGAAAACACAGTTGAAGCCCAGTAAGGAACCAGAACAACAGCTGGTGACATAAACCTTAAAGCCATGTTGGTTCATCAGAAGCCTGAAAAAATCTGTCACTGGTTGCTGTAGGATACCAACATGAGCAGGAAGGAGGGAATCATGTGTGTTAACTGATTGTAACGCGTCTGTTCCTCAACATAGTGGAACAGCAACTATATATTTATGTGCATGAGTCTGGACACGGTCCGGTCAGTGCAGACAGCACCAGCTCTGGGTCGGTCATGTCTGCAGACAGCAGAGTTACTAATATCAGAAGACAAAAACTCCATCCACGTCTACACACCAGCGCTGGACTTTCCTAAAAACTACATCTGTGTTTGTGTTTCAACGAAATACCAAAATGCATTAAAAAACACATCATTTTAAATGGTGCCCATGTCCCTGTGAGCAGGACTGAACACGAATTTTAGCTCACAATCAGCACGTACATGCTCCCTCCGTCGACACTGAACTTCACACACTAGTCATTCTCTCACAAGAAAATGACAAACAGCGAATATCACGACGATGCGTGACGCTTACGCTGTTGTTGTTGTGCTGTGTTAGTGTTAGTCAGAGTTTGCAGAGGAGGAAGTGGTGCTGAGGCAAGCAGAGACGGTGGAACGGGACACTGCACCGTCACATCAGCCTGTTGCCTGTTTGTTCCAGACTCTTGAAGGAAGAGACGGGCAGCAGGCTGGTGGTGGAGCTGCAGTGATTTTGCTGTGTTGAATCCTGATCTGCTGTCGGAGGGTTAAAGAGGCAGAAGACGAGCAACCATGTGTGACACGACATCCTGCATGTGTCCAGTCACAGCTACTCATGGGCAGTAAATCTGTCTCGCTAACCAAACAAATAGGCAACTACACAAAAGGGAAGTCTAGCATGCTCTGGGACAGGACTGGCACACAGGAGGTGTAAACAGACAGTAGTCATTTGGCCTGACAACCATGAAAAACTGCAAAAATAGAGAGTCTGCATACATACAGCTAAGCTCCAAAAGCCTTATGGACCTGATGTTTACTCTCTTGGTGGAAAGCAGTTATTTTCCAATTCCATTTTGAATGATGATGATGATGATGGAACATGCCATCTCACTTGCTGCTCTACAAATTCCCATCACTGCTTGTTTTTCGGAGGAGCTCTGGCAGCTGTGCACATTTCACGCTCATCAGGGCGTTCAGTGGCCATTTGAGCCCTTCAGTGTGGGGAATGTTGTCATTGTGGAAAACCCTCTCCCATCACGATAGAAATGCATAATCAGAGTATAAATACATGACTCAGATGAGATTTATTCAGAGGTTCAGCGTCCTTGCAGCTGTGCCAAGAAAGTGGATAGCAGGAAAGAAAAAAAAAAAAAGCCCCCGGGACACTTTAGTGTGTGAAACAAACACTTTGCTGTCTTCTTCTGTGGGCTTTTATCACACATGAGCTCATGAGCTGGTTGAGAACAAGGCAGGGATGACTCATCTGACCAGATGACGATCTCCACCAGTCAAAAAGCCTATTTTTACCACGGTCATAGTGCCTGCAGGTCAGCCAGATGGAACAGACATGTTAGGGCGCCCTTCCCAATTACAACATTTTGGAAAATGTAAAAAAAAAAACAACAAAAAAAAAATACAAACCCCTACACTCATACAGTTTCAAACTTCCTGCCTCTCCCTTTGATCTGCAGATGTGCTTTGGTGCTTCAGCAAATGCATATTAATTGGACAGATGGTAATACATATTAATGGGCGTGATGCCGGGCTCAAGCTGTGCACAAGGAAAGCACCAAATATTTAATGGAAATTATGATCAATCAAAATTGGAAAACAGAACAAAAAGGTCAGGATCACATCAAAGCTTTTCCTTTGGTAACAAGAATCACTGGACATTTTGGGAAACATGTGCGTTGGAATGATAGGACGGTGTTAATCCTGTGTGGTAAATGTGACGCTGCAGCCAGCAGCCACTCATCTTCACAGATATGTACTTGACATGTTATATTTTAGCTGTTTAATTCATACTGAAAGTCTAAAGAGCCAGACTAGCTTCCCCTGGTTTCCAGCGCTTTTCACAATGCTAAGCTAACTGGCTGCTCGCTGTAGATTTATGGTAATGTCCAAACTACAGATTTGGACTTTTGAATGTACAACAACTTCCCCATCACCAATAGATTAGACTGTAGACATTTTTATACATGATGCTAATTTTGTTTTGCAGTAAAGTGAAGTCGAGACATTTAAAAGCCGGCGTGATGACAGGATTCCATCACTGGATAGCACTCTGTATGCATCTGTGGCTGCTCTGTGGCTTACGAAGCTACCGTTCCACCACCTCCTATCATATGACAAGAGCTTTTATTCTTCCTCTGCAGCTTTGAAAAGTTAGGTTATTGCAAGTTAGCTTTGTTGAAAATCTGAGACTTTTTTATGAGACTTGCAATTCAGGTACTTTCAGCAGGTACTGTAACAAAAGTACATATTTATTTACACAATGCAGGAAAGAAGTATCAAGTGTTTGCATTTGTAAGTGTAGGTTTTAGGTCAGTTAAACAACATGTTATTCTATACATGCACGTATGGGTCTCTCTGCATTCGTTTAGATAGAGGCCTATAGGGACTTTGCATCCCTTAACTTTACAGACTTTTTGTGGTGGGTTTTCAGGCACCAGATTAAATTTGGTTCACAGTGTTTGAAATAACAAAAGTAACCGCTTCAGTTTAGTCAGAGAGCTAACCAGCAACAAGGTAAGAAATGATTTCCCACTCAGAGCTGACTTCTGTCTTTGTCAGACTAGCTTCTCGTAGCTGATACTAATAGACATTTTAGAAGGACGTGTTTTCAACACTTCCTCAACGTGGAGTCAGTTAAATTTGAGCTAAAAGTCCTTTAACTCTTTCTAAATCTAAAGTGTCTGCTCCATCAATAACATACTTTAAGCTCATAGTGCTCAGACCTTGGCATTAAGTAGCCTTACATTAAACAAATGTTTTGTTAAATTAATTAATATGAAGGTTTAAGGTGTTTGTTTGGGGCTGCCTGCAGTTCTCCCAGCTGTCACTGGGTGGCGCCAGCATGTCAGACCATAACCCTGAACAGGATCTCAGCAGCACACCAACATGAGTCACAACTGTGTTTTCTTTTGTATACAGGTAGCATAGGAACGCTGTGGTGGGACCCCGTCCAGAGGCTGCTCTTCTCGGGGGCCTCCGACCACAGTGTCATCATGTGGGACATCGGGGGCCGCAAAGGACGAACGCTACTGCTGCAGGGACATCAGTGAGTTCTGCAGTGTTGCTTACATACATGCATAGCTGCTGGATTTGCTTTCACTCTGTGTTTAGTAGGGATTGGGAAAAAAATCAGTGAAAGGCTGTGACCTTCTACTGCAGATTCCTCAGGAAAGAAAAGCTTCTACGTCTCTATTTTTGTCAGTTCTTTGCACAACAGTGTCTTATCTACAGTGTGACGCTCATCTCCACGCTGTCTTGTCAGAGGCAGGTCTCGGTGGTGTCAGTAACAGCTGTCCCCAGGCACCGGCTGACACTGTTTTTATCTCCTCTCCTCTGTCTTCATACATATTTCACCGCCTCCCAGTCCCCCTCCCCCAGTTACAGGAGTTATCAACAAAGCCCATGTATACTGATGCGTGTCAGAGCGGAGATCCTGTTTCGCCCGTGCAGGATTTACAGACACTTGTCTCTCAGTTGTAATGCTGCTGTAGTGCTGACAGGTCCTAAATCCTGTTTAGATCTCTTCTTAAGCCCCACTTGTGTCTTTGTTCTTCTGTTTTTCTTCTCCTCTCGTCCATTTTACTAATGTAGTAAGAGTAGACTTAATTCTATGTAGTCAGTAATGTGTGGGGGAATCAGCGAATGTATTTGATGTTGTAGAAAATGTCCATCAACTTAACAATGTGGGCGTGTTGTTGCACTGCTTCTTTCAGTCTTGTGGTGCTTTATGTGCTCATGAAGTCAGCAGTAATACCACTTGTAGGCCATCAGAACAAACTGGCAGACACACACCTACCACTGTACAGCGTATAGAGATAACAGGTTTGTCTGTATGTCAACAGACTCCAAGTTACGATTAATCTGTTTCTGTCCACTGATGGAGGCCAATAACGTTCCCCCTTTAAACTCTGTTAAAGGAAAATGTCTTCAGCCTCTAACCAGTTAGCTGCTAAACCGTTTTACTGCTATTTAGCGTTTTGAAGGTAATGAATGCACTGTTGTGTGGAAACACTCGTCTGCAGCTGCTATGAACAGGGCTTGCAGTCTCATGCCACGATGGCGGGAGTCAGTCAAAGACATGGTCTGATGGATTGGTTGCAGGGTAAAGAAAAATCTGCATGTTGTAGCCAGACGAGCTAAACGGGCCTCAGCGCACTGAGGGCATTCTGCCTGCATGTTAAATAAACCAGACGAGACCGTTTTCATTAAGTCATTAGAACGTGGCTTTGTTCAAACGGAGTCTTTTCCTTCTTTCGCCAAAAATAAAGGATTATTCCTGAAAAGCTGTTGATGTGGTGGTTTTCATCTTAGGAGAGCAACCCTGGTGACTGTCTGACCAATCAGAATCTGGTTGGATGAGAGCATAAAGACCAAACAGTTGACCTGGAGACAGCAGTGCTACATCCCAAGTAGTGATTTCAGCCATTGCAAATCCAGAAATGTGAACTGTAGCTCCTTTAAGTTTCCATTTCCATGTGCCGAAAACACCCTGGTTTGTCTCCACAGCTCCAGCATGTTCATCAGCTTGTTGCTGGGTTTGTCTGTAGTTTGCTTCTGGGCAGCTCGTGGACAGTATCTGTTTGTTTTGTTGTTTTTTATTGTTGGAGATCTATGAACATTTGTAAGAGCAGCTTTTATAAAACCACACAGTCCTCGCCTCTTCAAAATGGAAAGATGGAACTAAGAGTGACTAACGAACTGTCTCTTTACTCCCTCAGTGAGCGTGTTCAGTCCCTGCGTTACCTCCAGCTGACGAGGCAGTTGGTTTCGTGCTCAGCCGATGGGGGCATCGCAGTATGGAACATGGACACACAGAGAGAAGAGGTCTGAGTCACGGTTACACAGCAGTGACAGCCACATACATGAAGTCAAGTTGTTTTGCAGACTGTTTTTTGTTCTTTACTATTAGAGCTTGACTGTAACTGGTTTAGAGTTGTGCTTCTCCTCTGCATTTAGAGATGATTTGGCCACCATTGCTCACTGATTCAATGGGCAGCATGGCAACGTTTCTGCATATTTAAATGTAGCCTCCAACTGTTTGTGTCTCTGCAGGCGCCTCAGTGGTTAGACAGCGACTCTTGTCAGAAGTGTGAGCAGCCTTTCTTCTGGAATATCAAGCAGATGTGGGACACGAAGACTCTGGGGCTCAGACAGGTAGGAGAGTCTGACCGGTGCGCTCAGGTGTTCCTTGTAATTAGTGGTGTTCTTACACAGGTGTGTCTCCTGTGTGCAGCACCACTGCAGGAAGTGCGGCAAAGCTGTGTGTGGAAAATGTAGCTCCAAACGCTCCACGTTCCCAATCATGGGCTTCGAGTTCCCTGTGCGGGTGTGTGACGCCTGCTTCGACACCATCAAGGAAGAAGAGTGAGTACAGAGCTAAGTTTGGTAATAACTGCCTCCGTTATGGTGCTGTTTTCAGAGTACTGAGGGCAACTCTGATCAAATGCTCTCATTGTGTGTCTATGTGTGTGTGTGTGTGTGTGCGCGATGCAGTCGGACAGCGTTGGCCACTTTCCACGAGGGGAAACACAACATCGCACACATGGACATGGACCCGTCCAGAGGCCTGATGGTCACTTGTGGAAGCGACCGCATTGTTAAGGTCAGCAACAACAGTTCTTTGATGCCAGATAATTCATGCATGTGATCAGGCTGCGTCAGACACACAGAGCCTTTGAGGCAAAAATCAAACCAAAGCTAATCAAATCAGTGTCACTTATTTGAAGCTGCTTAGATTCTTTTTTTGTTTTTAAGGAAATGAGAATGTATTACGAGCAGTCCTACAAAACCTTAAGCTGCTGTTTAGCCGACGTCAGAGCCTTACAAACACAACAACTTCCTGCTTTTGGGAAAAACAAGAAGTTCGTTGTTGTTGTTGTTCTTGCTGATTTGGTCCATTGACCTGTTTAATGAGCAGATGCTACAGCGTTATCTTGTCATGTCACAGAACACATGGCAGCCTCTTCTTCAGATTGACGTTTTTAAGGAAAGTATTCAGGCTTCTCCGTCACTGTTCCAACTCTCTTCTCAGAAGATTGAGTTCAGAGTTCCAGTTTACACCAAGCTGGGTATCCTACTGATTATAGTTCTCGGAGAAGTAAGGACAAGTTGTTGGAAGTTGAAAATCCAATATGTCTTTCTGCTTTTCCAGTTTCTGGCAGATAAATGGTGTCATTTTTGTGATTAAATAAAACAAATACAAAACAAAACATGTCTTTGGAGGCTTCCAGCAACTTTGTGAGGTTCAGAGGTTTGAGTACTTTTTCAAGCAGAGTCTTTAAAGGTTGTCGTGTTTCCTCAGTAGTGAGGGTTCGCTGCTCCTCTGTGATAGTAGGTAGATCAGTTTAGAGGTTTTAACTCGTGTCTGAAAAACAAACCATATCAGTACATAAACCAAAGCTGAATACATTTAATTCACCAAACAATTAAATTAATGGAAGTTTTTTAGAAATAGAGGATGCTGCCAAGAGTCTTTGAAAGTTTTCTGTTACCATTTTGGATTTTCCACGATGAAAGCTTTCAGTCCTACAGGGGTAACAGACCTGCTGCTTTAATATTGTGTAGCTTCTGTTGTGGTTTCCATTCATGTTTATTTCCCTCCCATAATTTGATGCAACTGATCAGTGAAATGTCTCCTGAATCTAGCAGATGACAAACCTGAACACCTCTGTTAGAACCAGCTGATGACTTCTAACGATAGTAACGCAGAACCTCTGTTGTCGTTGTTATTGGCTGTTTGTCTCCACAGATCTGGGACATGACACAGGTGGTTGGCTGTAGCTTAGCAACAGGCTTCTCCCCGCGCTGATTGGCCCGGTGCCCCCTCTCGCCCCATGCTCCGCCCACTCTTCCAATGTCATGGAAACCCCTGTGTACAGTACATCTCCTCCCCATCACACCTGGGATCTTCAGCTGCAACCCGGCCAGCTCTCGGTGAATGTGCGAGTGTGTGCGAGTGTGTGCGAGTGTGTGTGTGTGTGTGTGTGTGTCAGCAGTGCAGCCGTCCACGTTCCTTTTGCTTCTCATGATAAAATTCTCTTTAATTTCACTAATCGTCAGTCTCACATGAAAGTGTGTTTGCCTGATTTTGACTTTTTGCTCTGATCTGAAACAGAACCCTAAGCACAATGGTGTGTGTGTGTGTGTGTGTGTTTGTGTGTGTGTACATGTGTGCATGTATTGTAATGGTTTCTCCTTTAGGAGGAATGGTATTGATATTAGTGTTTACATTCAATATATCTAATGCTTCTTTTGACAGTAGTCATTTTTTATTGCCCTTGCACTGTAAAGTTAGCCTTCACCATATTGCTGACCTGCCATTCCTGGAAAACATACTCTTCTCTTGCTCATTAGTGTGGCCCACTAACTGCATATTACTCCGTCACTGTACAAACCCCCGGTCATGTGTACATACCCCTGCATCATGTGTATAGTAGATGCTTGAAATGACTCACTGATCAAAGTGATCTTTTTTCCTCTCTCTCTCTCTTTCTGATTTCTTTTTTCTCTTTCACTAGTTGGCCTTAAATCACTCTCAGGAGGTTTTACATCAGTAGGGTATCACTAGGTGGGGCTCCGATGATGTCAGTCGTAACCATTGTTCATGTGTAGTCGGTAGAGAGTCGGTCGAGCGGCCTCCTCCAAAGGAAGTCTCTTGATACACCCACAGGTGCTGCCATAGAGAATGGATGCCGTTGTCAGATGTTTGCCTGACAGCAGTGACCCCGCTTCCACCTCGTGATCCCAGGTGAGGCGTTTGAAATTGAAATACGTTGCCATAGTAACAAGCACAGACAGCGGCAACATCCTATTGCAGCCATTGTGGCGTGTACCCAGAGCAGTCGCCATTCAGGATGGGATTATTGGGACCTGTGATCATTTCAGCTCTGTTGGTAGAAACTAGGTTAACAGCACCACCGCCTCGTACAGGTGTGACTCTCTCTAGAAAACGTAGATCAATATCACAAGTTTTTTTGGTGCAGAATTGGGTTTCGTGCCACCGGAAAGGCCCCGAGGTACTGGACCGGTACTCTGAACTAAATGTAGCAGTAAACGTTGGCGTGTTGAACCGTCTCCAGCTCAATCCGAGGTCAGATCAGGGCTGCCTGTGTTCCTTCAAAAGCCTTAAAGAGAGAAGGACACGCTCACAAAGCCTTTTTAGTGGTTTGTCAGCGCTTACGACTGTTCACTCATGTTCATTTACTCTCAAGCACTCATCTCGTGAACAAGCTCTGGATGTCTCGTTTGCGTCTCCTTTCTTCAACCTTTTTTTTTTTCTTTTTCACTTTCTGTCCTCAGTCGTCCCGCCCAACCCCTCCTCCACCTCCACACACATCTGTCTCATTACGCTCTCAGCACTGCACTGAATTGCACAACTTGTGGTCTCTGTCTTTTGAATCTAACGAAACGTTTTTGTAAAGTTCAGACGTGAGAGAGATAGCGGCTGTATTCCATGTAGCGTCCTTGTAAATAGCGGCTAATATCTAACATTAGACTAACGCTTGCCTTATTGTAAGTGGAACAATGAGCATTATAATGTTTCTGATTTCAAAATGTAGTCACATTCCAGTTTTTTGATCATGTAGTGTATATTTATATTTGTAGTAAAGTATTTATCTATCACTGTAAATGGTTGTTTACTTTTCTTTGTGCCCATCCAGTAGTCTTTTTTTTTTTTTCCTTATAGAAACAAACTAGAACATATTAAACACTCTTTTATGAAGCACATGTGAACTCAGAGACGTTGAGGTGAACTGCAGCGTCGGGTTTTACTCGCTGACATCGGTGGAGGCTGATTGGTTGACCGAGTGCTTGTCATAAAGCGGCGATTGCTTTCCATCATCAGGATCTTAATCAGTGATGTGTAGATACTTTGGGTTAGACTGAAAGCTGACACTAGCTGAACTGGTCAGGAGCCAGTAGTGTTCATTATTTTTTGAAGATTAAAATAGTTTTTTTTTTCCTACATTTGTCTCCGAGACTAGATTTGTGTCGGCGTGTAAAAGCCTCTGGAAACGGCTTTTTCCCTCCATAGTGGACACTAAGCTCTGGGATGAAATATGCCTTAAATTTATACACGTAAAAATAATAGAAAATGAAAAAGTACAATATTAAAGCTGCATTAATTGGTTTTATTTTGACACCTGCATGCAGCCAAACTGGCTTTGTAAAGTTGTGTTGAATGTATAATAAAGAAGCTACACACAGCTGCGCCGTCTTTTGTTGGAATAAAAACATCGATTGGTGCAGCTTTAAGTACTTCAAGTTACTACAAGATGAAAACGCTGCATTGTCTGATTATTTAGTTTTGTTTTTTGGGCCGTTGCTGACACTGGATTGAGATGGAAACAGCCTGACACAAGATTCTTGTGACAAACATACTTAAAAACAGTGAATTATCCGGTTATTTGGAGGCTAAATGCTTGAATATGTTGTGGTCGGCCATGTTTTGCTGGGCAGGTGGAGTTCTGTGGGTTTTTTCAGCACTTTCTGTTGAAGAAAAACCAAAACAATGAGCTTTAAGGCGTAAATTGCTTCTTAGAGGAACTTCAGAGTCAGGTGATGATTCTCTGTGGGTTTGCCGTTACAAGTAAATTACAGTCACTTGATTAATAAAATAGATTAGTGCAGCTTTGAAATACTCTCAAGACTTAAATTGTATCCGGACTTGTGTTATATTAGACAAGCAGCCAACACTGACATGTCAGTCCGACCCCAAGTATTATAAGAACTGGTGTCACGATGCGTCATCAGGGATCTACAGGGTTTATGGCGATGCTACCGTACAATCAGGAGCCAGAGCTCTCCTTTTCTGTTTCAGCTAACTGGGCATTGAAGCTTCTTCCAGTCATTACTTCTTATCACGTCCTTGGAGCAGGCGCAGCAGATGGACGAGATGTTAAAGGTATGATAGATGGCAGGATGCGCTGTTTGCAGAAATAGCTCATGAAATAGATCTTCAGATTGCCTGCCAGCCGCAGGAAGGAACCGATGGATTTTTGTCGCGTTGTAAATGGTTTATCTCCGTTTCTTTCACCAGATGGAGCAGTTATAGGAGGCCTTTAGTTTTTTTTTTGTCATCTTTAGTTCGACAGAGACTAGAATGGGTGGCGGTCGCGTTGGCCACATGAAAACACTGAAAACTCATTTTCCACAACACCATGGCCTGTAATCTCAAAATGCAATTTGATTTCTGTGTGAATTTTTCTCCTCAAAACTGCTTGTAAAAGACGGGGATGTTGTTCATGTATCTCTCCAAATAACTGTATTTTTAAAGACTTCTGTTGACAGTACAGTGCTGACTGGAGTCTCCCTGTGCCCTCAGACCAGAGCACAGGCAGGACTATGATGCTTAATAAAGATATTTGATATGTTTATTTGACTTCTACGTTTTTTTTGTTTCCTGAATAATCGTAGCTGCACAGCAAGACACAAAAGCATCAGTAAGTGTCTTTATTAAAGCATGCGTTTACAAGATCAACTCAAGCCAGAGTCACAGTCAGTGAAGGTAAAGGTGCTGGGCAGATATCACCAAGTCATGAATGTATAGATTACACTGCACATGTCAAGTGGTGCTGCTGTGTTGTGTTCAAGGCTGAGGGAGAGAACGCTGCGTCTCCAGTCTGGGTTCAACCTGTACAGTACAGTCACTACGCTACGCTACGCTACAATACAACAGATAGACAAGTTACTGACACCACGACTAAACGCACATCACCTGGCACATCTGTAAGTCATTAAAACACAAGCATGACATAGAACCCAGAGCTGGTGTGTGAGTGACTCTGGCCACATCAGATTCCCATCTGATTGACAACGGTAATTAAGTCACAAAGACAGACTGGGTTGTGTGTGTGTGTGTGTGTGTGTGTGTGTGTGTGTGGTTTACGAGCGTTCTCTCCATCAGCGATCCATCTGAACGGCAGCATCACTGTCAAACACTCATACAATGACATGTTTAGTCCTTAGACAGTTAAGCTCATAAATGATAAAAGTTGTTATCATATAAATGGCTAAAAAAAAAGCATTACGAACGTCATTAATGTCTCAAGGAGAGGCGGCTTTAATCTGTCATCGGAAGGCTGGGTTTCCCAAAACACATCTTAGCACTCACAGAAACGTCTTCTTATTTGTTCCACTTCAAGCCAGCGATCACAGACGGTGTTACCACTCCAGATACTTCACATTAAACAGATCTGTTCCCCTCCCTCTGCTGGGGCAGCGCGGTGAGGAACCACTGGGCCCAGCCTCGGTCAGTACGAACTGGTGGCGTTAGTGTCGGTGGTGTACCTGTGCCCAGTTGGCTGCGGACTCAGTGTGGCTGGAACGTCTTGGCCAAGTCCTCCAGTAGTGACATTAACTTCTGCTCCTCCAGAGAGGAGCTGTGGGTCCAGGCCAGCGGCAGGTGGGTGGACACCATCTTCCGGTCTGCACACAAACAAGGTTTGTACTTACAGGAGCTGTGTGTTGATGCTGTGTTCTGTGAGCCCTGATCTGGCTGAATGGCTGCTGGAACACAGTGACCATATTGTTGTCTTTCTCTTTGCCACTTTCATGTAAAGCCTGAAGAACAGTTGCTGTCTCCACAGTCTCTCTCGTCTAAACTGCTGAAGCCTCTAACTCAGTCACAGGTGTCATTTTAAATTCCACAGTTAATTAAATTGATGTGCCCTGAAGTCGGATAAGCGACAGAATGTAGATGGATTGATTAGCCAATGGAAAATAATTTGTTCATTTAATTATTTTCCCTAAAGCTTCGTGACCTGATGAGCTCCTCAGTTACTGTGGCGACGGCGCCGGTGCTCGCGTCTGAAGCTGGTGACTGAAGGAGCGAACAGACTTGTGCAGCACAATGCACGAATGCAACAAGTCCCACTGGTGGGAGGCGGCGCGCAGCTACAAGCATCACACGTGTGAAGGATCAGAAGTCGGCCGTGGCTCCTGGGCGAGCTCACTTTTTTCACTTTTTCATGGTCAACAATGACACAATTCCTACTAACTAAACAATATGCAGCGTGTATGTTTTTAGCACCATGAACTCGTAGCGAGAGAGAAGGATGATGTTTAGTTTATGTCAGAAATAATAATTGTACCCAAATGTCTTATTTTGTCTACAACACAAAGAGTTAACCAGATACAAGATTAGGCTTTTTTCTTTTTCAAAAGCTCCTTAATTGATCTAATTAGTTTGCCGATTAGCTTATTTGTTTAATAAATGAAGTCATTAACCGTTGCAGGTCTAATCATCACAACAGCAGCGTTTCAGGAATCATTTCAATATCGAACATTTTCCTTCAAACTGTGTTTCCTGGATTCACACAACACGAGTCAACAAGCTGCTGAGTTGCACATGAAAGCTGTAATCCAAATCAAAGTCTGTTTCCGCCGCCCTAATAGGAAATATTCCATCGCTGACAGCTGCTATGATTCTGGCAACTGCAGCCGTTTGGCCAAGTCGGCGTTGAGCTGAGACAAAGCCGTGGAGGACGGCCAGGCAGGCAGCTTGACTGGTGTTCTGCATGAGACCTCAGATATGGAACAAGATGGAAGCTTTGCCCCAAATAATGATAAAAACAAACGAGGACGGCAGACATGAACGCCTCGTGTTGCATCACAGAAACATGAATGCGGTGTGTTTGTGTTGAAGTGTGCTTTTCCTATTAGACTACAACCTCCCTCTTCAAGGCCACTGAGGACATTGTGTGTGTGTTCATAGAGCCACTGTACTCTCTGGCAGTATCTGGCACCAGAAGCAGCCCACTCCAGCTGCAATGGAAACCAGCCAAACCCTCACACACACACTCACACCCCTCAGCTAACAAACACAGAATTCAAGCACTCTTTAGTTCAAGCACAGTTTGGTTTTTTTTCTCCACTTTTTGGGGGATTCAAATTGCACCAAACCTTTCTAAAACTGATAAGCAGGTAGATGAGCGTGTGTTCTAATTCATTACCCTGATAGAAGCGTCCGCTGGCGTTTGCGGCGGCGGCCTCGGAGACGGCCAGCCACACCACCGTGTCGGCTCCCTGCTCCGGGGTCCGCAGGCTCTCCTTCATAGACTGATGGAAGTCTGGCATGGCGTTGGCCACGGCTGGGACACATGACAGACAGAGACGGGAAACCCGGCTCGGGTAAACGTGCCAATTAATCTACGTCAGACCTTTTGACCACAACGACATTTTTTGCGTAGGCGGGCGTTACCTGGGGTGTCCACCCAACCTGGATGCATGACGGAGAAGTGGATGCTCGTGTGAGTCTTGGCCAGCTGTTCTGTCATCACCACCTGCTGCCTCTGGAACACACACACACACACACACACACACACACTGTCAACACATCTCTGACGTATTTGAAGGGGTTCGCGCCAAAGTGGGCCAAACCACCAAAAAGTTGTGTTGCTAAAAAGAATCCAGGTTTTTAGAGGAGCCACTAAATGCATCCAGAGATGTTCCAACACTGTCCAGAGATAGAAGCAGCTGCTCTGTGATGACTTATTTCAGTTTTAATCTTTCCTTTCGCTGTGTGTCAAAGCGGGCCGTACCACATTTTCTAAACTTTATGAGGAAATAAAAAGATTCCAGGTTTGTCTTGCTGAACAGCATTGAGGAGTTTACGTCATAAGGAACTGGAGATGCTTCTGAGGACCACGGGGCACAAACAGATGCTTGGTGGCGGTTTTTATTTTACCTTCATGTACCTACGACTTTTAACGGAGCTTGAAGTCGCGCTGTCCGCCATCTTGAATCACAAACACTACCTGCGATGTAACGGTCAGCGACTCCTGTGGCTCGGCCCGGTTTGCCACTAAACTTTCATGCCAGAACCGTCATGGGCCAAACTTCAAAGTGGCACCGTGACATTACTAGTGGGCTGTTGGTCGGACCACTTTGCCACCAACTAGTCGACCATTAACACTTTGGATCTTTTGTGGTTTGGCCCGCTTTGGCACTGAGGCCCTCATTTAGACCCTTCAGTAAAAGTAGAGATACAACAATGTCAAAATACTCAGTTACAAGTAAAGCTTCGGCATGAAAGTACCTGAATACAAGTATTAACGTATAAGAGTAAAAACACTGGGTTGGTTCCTCATTAGATAATTAACGGTGAAGCATCAGCAGCTGCTGCAGGTTAGAGCTATTTTATATTTTTACTGTTTTATATAAAGCTGAAGGTTCCAAACATGATTAATAGGACAGAAAAGAAGAAAAACTAAAAGTTCTGTTTTTAGGTTTTGGATCGTTTTTGCTGGATCATTTCAACATTTATCAAAATGAATCGAGGGGAAAAAAATCACTACTTGTTCGAGCTGATAAGTCACAGACATCTGAAATGTGAACTTAAGAAGCTAAAAAGTTGGATCTTTACCCATGTGTTGTAATTTAAAAGCTTGTTTTATTATCTATTGTGTAAAATGTTGGGCTTCGGGGTAACTACAGCTGTCAGATAAATAATAAGTGGAGCACAAAGCTTCCCTCTGAAATGCAGAGGAGGGAAAGTCTAGTGTCGCATGACACAGAAATAATAACTGTACATGAAAACAGTACTTAAATAAATGTACTCGGTTACTCTTCACTGGGTTTTAAAGCTTTTGTTGTTTATAATGAGCTAATTTGTAAAGTTGTGTTTAATAAAGGTTGTTTAAATGTTTCCAGTGTTCTGATTAATTCTGCGATCAACACACGAGACAGTTCCTGTCTTTAATAATCTATTTATTATTCTGAGGACAACATATTCATTATCCACATACTTATGAACAGTCAAAAAGTAAGGATGAACTTTTCACCTTCGACAGTGGAGCAAATAAAACAAAACCGATGTGTACATTCAGTGTGAATAAAGCTCAACGACTAGTTTGTGCCCCGGGAGGTGAATCCAGCAGGACATCCGCAGAGCTGGAATCAATATTCAAAACTGATTTAAATTCCTGATTTAAATTCCTCTACAGCGTGACTTTTCTATATTGAATGTAATTATCAGCTGAAATTGTTCAAATAATAATCTTACTCACTAAACAATAAAACACCAGCTACAGAAAAACTGTAAATCCCTACGAAAACAAATTATTTTACTATTTGATTGGTTTTAATTATTGATAGGAGCTCATGCTGTAAATTGAAGCATTCTAATGTGACCATGATGCACATTTCCCACAAATCTAATCATGCTTTTTTTTTTTTGATCCGGTTCCTGACCAGCTCAGACCGCTGACGGGCTTTAAAGCCTGACCGTCCATCATTTGTGACTATTTCCTGTCTGAGCAGACTGACGGCGGGCTGGAGCTCCGGTCTTACTTTGTGCTGGGCGTAGACCATGGTGCCGTCGTAGCGGCCTCGCTCAGACTGCAGGTTTCCCGTCCTGAGCTTCTGCACCAACATGCCTCCTGATGACACTGTGATCTGAACATGGGAGAGCGAGCAGAGCGGTGAGGGAGCTGTGGTGCTCTCATTTCAGATCCTGTGTGTGTTATAAGGCTGAAAATAACTTATTTTATCAACTACTCAGTAATTTGGTTTGGAAAAATGCAAGAAAATGGTGAGAAATGCCGTCAATCGTTCCTAAAGCCCAGGAAACATCTTTACATGTTGTCAACTAACAGTCCAGAACCAAATGTGTTCAGTTTAATATCACAGAAAGATCAATAAACCTGAAACTGATCACATTTGAGAAGCTGAAACAAAAAAAAGGCATTCTTTAAAACAAAGTATTCAGTTCTTTCATGCAAATTGCAGCTCTGTTTAGACTTTACATGTTCCTCGTGCTATTACAATATGTACTGATGTAATCTAGTGACTTCCAGCATTACCTCTACATGTTCTGGTTCTAGTATTGGCTGTTGTTTGCCAGCCTCTCTGTAGCCCTGAGCTTCAATGCATAACTCTTTAGTGTGTTTTCTGTGAGGATGTGACCCTGATGAACCGTTAAACCAATCCAACCAATCAGGACAAGCTGGTGGTAAACGATGGATTATGCGAAGTCTGCTGTCTGCTGAAGGAGCTCATACCTTCTGTGAGGCAACTCAAACGTACAGCACAGGCTGTTGGACTCACCACTCTGGGATCTGGACTCTTCTCCAGCAAGGGAATGAGGCTCTTGGTGAGAATGTAAACCCCTAAACAACACAAGAAGAATCAGCCTTTTCTCACCATCCCCATCTCGGTTTCTCATCAGCGTTTCGTTGGCTCCTCGACTCACCCAGAACGTTGATGGCGAAACTCTTCTCCAGGCCCTCAGCGTTCACGTCCCTCTGACTCATGATGGATCCTGCGTTATTGATCTGCACAATGACATACATCAGACAGTCATGCCAGACCGGCGCTGGAAGGGATTCGCTGTACAACATGAGTTATTATTCAGACTGTATCAGAACACACCAGAGAATATGAGAAGATAGAAATGAAGCAGGTGCCATCATGAAGCAACACACTCACCAGCACGTTGAGGGTCTTGTACTTCCTCTTGAAGGACTCTGCAAACTCCCAGACCTTCTTGGTCTCAGCCAGGTCCAGGATGTGGACGTAGACCTCCTGTAACGACACCAGCCATTTAGAATCATGAATAACGTGACACCAGGGGGAACCAGGAAGCAGTCTGGGCTGTGATCGAGTGAGCCACACTTTACTTTATTTCCCGTCTCCTTGACGATGTCAGCTCTCGCCTCCTCGGCCTTGTCCTTGTTCCTGCACACCATGTGGATGGTTCCACCTGTGGCACAGATCAGATCACTGGAGCAGCCGGCAGAGATGGTTTCAGGGCACAAGATGAAGAGCTAAGGATTTATCTGAGGGTGGTTAACTGTGATAAACCGGACCGATGCTGCCTGAACAGTTTGTAACATACAGCTACCAACTCATTTTCACACCATCTTCTTGGTGAGTGACCGTTGTTTTGAAACTACACATGTAACATTACTGAAACACACGTGTCCTACGCTGTACCTTTGATTTGCATTTAAATAAAGATTTTGACTTGAACGCTTTATAAAAAGTCCTCCACATGTTTTTACAGTTGCCTTCATGTTGATAGAAGAGCTGCAGCTATGTGGAAACGAGCACGCATAAGAATAACAGTTGTTCATAGTCCTGGGAGAATATCATCCAGGCTGCTAATAATATCTGCTGTAGAGAGGATGTGCCTGAGTCTGGTACAACATATAATATATGTGAATATAACTCTTGCTGTGTGTGTATACATACCAAAGTAGGTATTTCAGTTTCAGGTTAATGTGCTTCACTTGCATGAATGTCAGTTTAACAATATTGTCAAAGCATCAAGGATGGTGTAATTAAAAAAAATAATAATAAAGTAAGTGAGAAAATCAAAAAGATTGTAGAAATACAGACGATATCAAGATACAGTCGTCCTCAGATCTATTCATCCCCTTCTTTTAAAGAAAAAGCAAAACTCACAAAAAGTCACTCAAATAAGTAGAAACTGAAAAAAGTAATAATAAATAAAAATTTGCTAAATTAGAATTTAGTGAAATAAGACGTTGGTTTTGAATTGTGGTTGAAAAGAATAATTTTAAAAAAAAAAAAACGGTCCCGGACAAATGAGAGGCCTTTGCTGATGAGCAGTGAAATCCAAACACCTGTCAACAGGTATGTTCAACTAAATATGAGTTTACGGGTCTATAGATAGATGGATGGATGGATAGATAGATAGATAGATAGATAGATAGATAGATAGATAGATAGATAGATAGATAGATAGATAGATAGATAGATAGATAGATAGATANTGCTTCACTTGCATGAATGTCAGTTTAACAATATTGTCAAAGCATCGAGGGTAGTGTAATTAAATAATAATAATAATAATAATAAGTGAGAAAATCAAAAAGATTGTAGTAATACGTGTGTGACATGTTTAATAGACGATGTGAAGATACAGCCGTCCTCAGATGTATTCATCCCCTTCTTTTAAAGAAAAAGCAAAACTCACAAAAAGTCACTCAAATAATTAGAAACTAAAAAAGTAATAATAAATAAAAATTTGCTAAATTATAATTCAGTGAAATAAGACGTTGGTTTTGAATTGTGGTTGAAAAGAATAATTAAAAAAAAACAAAACTGTCCCGGACAAATGAGAGGCCTTTGCTGATGAGCAGTGAAATCCAAACACCTGTCAACAGGTGTGTTCAACTAAATATGAATGTATGGGTCCCATCATGCTTGTTTTTAAAAATATATATATATTTCTGTTAGATAGATAGATAGATAGATAGATAGA